AGTCCTGCTGATTGTCTGAGATGTTTGAAAGCGTCTGAATTCTTCCTCCGCTTCGTTATCTCTAGACGTCGGGGTCACCATTTTGTTGGGGATTTGAAGGGATATCTGATCCGCTTTTCAAATCTCCGCGCGTTCCTATGAAGCTGGTTATAATACAGGAAGGAATCCATATCTACAAAGTAACCGTTAACAATAATCTACTTTAATGGCAATATGACAATGCAATACAATCATTACAATACAACATGATATATTACAGTTATATTGCAATGCTTAAGGAGTAATGCCGGCTTACTCCTGCTCTAGTCCGCATACTGCAGAGCTACTTTCACCCGAGCGCAGCATGTGAAGAAGAGGCCGAACGCCAGGGATCCTCCGGAGATATACCAGAGTAAGAAGGAGGGGTTTGGTGTTAGGTCAGCTGGTCATCTTTTCAGGTCATCTCATTGGGAGACGCAACGCAGCAGGAAACGCAGCAGGAAACCAAACAGGCTCACTTTCCAACAAAAGGTCTCAAGGCCTGCATACCTACACCTCCCCCACAGAGCCATAAAACCCTGTTTACTCCAACCAGCCCAGAATGTTTATAGCCATTTGTAGTCCTTACATTTATGAAAGGATAAAACAGAGAAATCAATATAAAACACAAACACAGGTATTGTTTGAACAGTATTCACTTAACTGCTACTATTGATAAGCACCAGAGAAACCCAAGGGACCTCTCTTAACATCACAACCACTGTAGCTCGTTCTAAGTTGAATGCAAATCAGGACATGCTTTCACCTTCCCCCATCTTCCTTTGTCCTCAAAAACACATGTCAACAGGCCCCAAATGCAGCTCACAGTTTTACCCAAATTATTCCCATTTTAAGCTTATCCATAGTTTGCTAACATGAATAAATACAAATATAACTCTACAGTTGCTAGGAAGCTTAACCTATAATAAGTTATCAAAATGTAATTGATTGTTTAAACTGAAACTAGAAATGTAAAGTGCAATATTTCTTCAAATCTGAAAAAAGTTTTCAGTTAAACAAATCATCACCTTTTAATTTGATATGGAACTTGTGACCACATATTTGCTTATTTGCACCTCCAGCAGATAGGAGGCCACATCACTTTTTAATGTGGACAAGCATTTCTGGCCCACTGGCAAATGCTTGTTGAAAGTTAGTATTTTCTCTGATTCTTCATTACACATAAAAATGCGTTTGACCAAGCAGTAAGGCAACAGGACACAGGAGAAGTTTAAAGAAATGGGGTTTTATATTTACACAAAAATTAAACATTATAAACAAAAAATCTCTGATACTAGTGATGATTAAGTATTAACTGTTTTGAATACAACCAAACACATTATGATTAACAAACTGTATTGGGAACAGATATTGAAATGAGGGATCATCTGTGGATCGCCCGCTTCGTTCTGCACCGTGTCTCTGAAGACTTTGGGGTTGTTGTCTCGTTGGATGCTAAACCCATTGAGGGGAACATTGGTACATCAGGCTGTCACAACAACTTTAGTTCCAAGGAGAGCGAGAACAAAGGGGGATTTCAGTATATATACACCACTGAGAGACATGCCAACCATCTAAAATACCCCTATTCCCTGCTCTGGTGGACAGCATAATAGATGTGATTAATTTAATCTGTTCTCTGTAAAAGTACATTGAAGAGGCAATCAGGAGGCTGAGAGCAAGCGTCACTCAGCACCTCTGTGTCTATGATCCACACGATGGCGCTGACAACATGAGACACCTCACCTAGTCAATGCTCTGCCTCCAATTTTCATGACTTCTCTTCAGTGGTAGACTACTGTCAGAGGTGGGAGAAGTACTCTGTTGACACTGTTGACCACAACATATTACTAGACCGACTGGAAAACCGGGTGGGACTTTCGGAAACAGTTCTAAATTGATTTGAATCCTACTTAAAGGACAGAAGCAACTTTGTTTCTATAGGTAAATACAAATCTGAGTTGACAAATATCACATGTGTGGGGTTCCTCAAGGCTCCATCTTGGGGCCTCTTCTCTTTAACATCTACATGCTACCACTGGCTCAGATAATAAAAAACAACAAAATGAGTTACCATATGCGGATGACACACACATTTACATAACCATTTCACTGAGTAAGTGCATTGAACAAATCAATGACTGGATGTGTCAGAACTTTCTCCAATTAAACAAAGACAAAACTGAGGTCATGGTTTTTGGAGCCAAGGCAGAACGTATAAAAGTTAGCGCTGAGCTTCAGTGTGCAATGTTCAAAACAACAGATAAAGCCAGAAATCTAGGTGTAGTCATGGACTCTGACCTGAGTTTCAACAATCACATTAAAACAGTTACTAAATCAGCCTACTATCACCTAAAGAACATATATAGGATTAAAAGACTAATGTCACAGCAGGATTTGGAAAACGTGTCCATGCTTTTATCTTCAGTAGACTCGACTACTGCAATGGTGTCTTCACAGGTCTCACTAAAAAATCTATTAGAAAGCTGCAGCTGATTCAGAACGCTGCTGCTCGAGTCCTCACTAACACTAAGAAAGTGGATCACATCACTCCTGTTCTGAAGTCTTTACACTGGCTTCCTGTGTGTCAAAGAATAGATTTCAAAATACTGTTGCTGGTTTATAAAGCACTGAATGGTTTAGGCCCAAAATACATTTCTGATCTACTGCTAAATTATGAACCATCCAGATCTCTCAGGTCTTCAGGGACTGGTCAGCTTACTGTCCCCAGAGTCAGAACTAAACATGGTAAAGCAGCGTTCAGTTATTATGCTCCAAATATCTGGAACAAACTCCCAGAAATCTGCAGGTCCGCTGCAACTCTGACTACTTTTAAATCCAGGCTGAAGACTTTTCTTTTTGTTGCTGCTTTTAATTGAAACTGAGCCGTTGTGTTCATCAGTAAAGTGGAATTTCTGTGTGAACTATTCATGTCTTAAACTGCACTGTAACTTTGTATTCATGTACTTTTTATTCATGTTTTTTTTTTTAATGTTTCTTTTATTATCTTTTTTTTTAAATTACTGTTTTGAAATGCCTTTGTCTGAATGTCTTTCATTTTTGTAAAGCACCTTGAATTGCCTTGTGTTGAAAGGTGCTATATAAATAAACTTGCCTTGCCTTGCCTTACTCATATCTTGTACTTAAGTAAAACTAGAAGTGCCAGAATACAAATAAAGTAAAAGTCCTGCTCTCAAAATGTTACTCAAGTCAAAGTAAAACATATTGGCATAAAAAATGTATTCAAAGTACCAACAGTAAAAGTACTAATTATGCAAATTGGCCCAATTCCGAATAATACATTATATGTTTGATCATAATTCTTGATGCATTTAGGTGTTATCAAAGCTGACAAAGGCAAGCTAATTTGAATTAATGGAGCGAAGCCTGCAAGCTAGTTCAGGCAGTCAACTCGAGAACCAATGATACATTAACACGTGACGCGATCGTCCCTCTTACAACCAATCAAACACATTCTCCTTAACCTGCCTCGTTAATGCTGCTGCTGCCACTGCTGTGTTCACGTGCTACTGCTGCGTTCATGTTGCTATGTTTCACGTGCTGCTGCTCGCCTAACCCAGCTTCCACCCCAGTTTACACCTGTAGGCTCTGGGGGATAGTTATCTAATCATCACTCAATGTTCTATGTACATCTGACTGTGGAGTAATGAGGCCTGAGCCTAGACGCCAAACTCAAATTATATGCTGCTTCTTTGCTTGTGAATTTACTCCAGGTGAAACTAAAGTCTTATTTAAGTGGGGAAGTACAAAGTAGCAAAACAATTGAAATACTTAAGTAATGTACAAGTCCCTCAAATTTTTTGTAAATATACTTATATGCCTGTAAAACAGAGACAGAGTAACATGCTCAAATATTATACAGACTTAAAAGCAATGGAGTCAGCAGCTGAGGGCCCACCATGGCAATATATACAGGACTCATGCACGTCATTGTATATGTTTTGTGTATTATGTGTTGAATATGTTTAATTGTTTCTGTTCCTTCGGATGGATGGGTTAATCAATGAAAACAGGTCAATACAAAGTTGTTTTTAGAAATATAAAAGTATGAAAGTTAAAAATACAAATAACTGTATGGCAAGCAGTTTATAATGCAAAACAGGTTATATGTCATTGTTATACCCACAAAAACAAGGTCAGGAAGTGGGTCCAATGAAATTAATACAAGGAAATAAAAATAAGTCTATACACATAACACATTATGAACCTGATGGATTTGCTCTACCTTGGTTTATCCCATTCTAGTCTTATTCATTTTCTATTTATAATATGTATTTTTGTGATTTAATTCCTTTATTTCACTCTTCAAAAAAATCGAATTATATTTAATTAAATTCTCTTTTGGATATTTGTATGTGCCTGTGCTTTTACTGTATGTGCCTTTCATTGCAGTGCTCAGTCCTACATCACAATAGAGCCACTAATGGCACCTACTATTGAGTGAGAAAGTGACTTGGAACATTTGGAAAAATAGAGGTAATATGAAACAGTGACGCTCAAAGAAAGTTAAGATCATGTGAAAGTTCTCTCCTCGCTGCGCGTCTCTGCTGTGCACTCAGCAGTGAGCTGGTGATGCCTGTGGTCCCTGCAAATCTGCTCTGCGCTCGGAGCAGCAGCAAAGAGCAGACTGGCTGGAGCAGGATGGGCGCTCTCCACTCTAATTGACACTCTTTGTTTTTTTCTGTTAATACCGAGCATGGGTGGATTTATAGTATTTAAGTTTGAAATATGACCGAACACGGGACCAGGCAATGAATAACACAACCGGCTTGACATTAGGAGATGGTAGCCGGGAGGGTTTACCGGCGCTCCGAGCTTTGACCGGCTCCCTCCTGGCGCTGCTTATCATTTGGACGCTTTTCGGCAATTTAACGGTGTGCGCAGCCGTTTATCGCTTCCGCCACCTGCGCGCCAAGGTAACCAACATCTTCATCGTGTCCCTGGCTCTATCGGACCTCCTAGTCGCCGTGCTGGTGATGCCGTGGAAAGCAGTGGCTGAGGTGGCTGGTTTCTGGCCGTTTGGAGGGTTCTGTAAACCCTGGCTGGCCTGCGATATCATGTGCTCCACGGCCTCCATCCTCAACCTGTGCCTCATTAGCGTGGACCGATACTGGGCCATCTCCAGCCCTTTCCTTTACGAGAGGCGCATGAACAAGATGCTGGCCTCTGTGATGATCGGAGTGACCTGGACTGTGTCAGTGATCATCTCCTTTGTCCCTGTGCAGCTGGACTGGCACCGTACGGAGATAGGTGATCCGGCTGGGGAGGCTTTTGCACTTAACGCTAAGGGTGTTGATGGGAGATGTGACTCCAGCCTGAGCCGGACTTACGCCATCTCCTCCTCCCTCATCAGCTTCTACATCCCCGTGTTTGTCATGATTGTCACATACACGCGCATCTACCGGATAGCCCAGCTGCAGATCCGGATTATTTCCTCCCTAGAGCGTGCAGCGGAGCACGCGCAGAGTTGTCACTTGGACGTACCCGAACTTTGTTCTCACAGGTGCACTGAAGTCGGTGTCAACTCATATCAGTCTCCTATACATCACCATCGTAAAACTCAGCCCCCTAATCGGTCTCACCGGGAGCTCAAAGTCTCCATCAGAAAAGAGACGAAAGTCCTCAAAACTCTGAGCATCATCATGGGGGTTTTTGTTTGCTGCTGGTTACCGTTTTTTATCCTGAACTGCGCTCTGCCCTTCTGTCCCGGACCAGAGGAGCCTGTGGCGCTGCGGGGCCCTTACTGCGTCAGTGAGAAAACCTTCGACGTCTTCGTGTGGATCGGCTGGAGCAATTCGTCCCTTAACCCGGTCATCTATGCATTTAACGCGGACTTTAGAGACGCCTTTTTTCGCCTGTTGCGCCTCCGCGGACACGGCTGCTGCTACACGATGAGCGCGGCGGTGGAGACGGTGATGGCGAGCAACGAGGCCGGACACCTGAAGCCGGAGAGCCCGCTGAACATGAACCAGGAAGTCTATGCCGTGAAGATCAGGGGCAGCGAGGACAGGGGGAACACAACGGTGACCCTGTTATATCACAGAGGAACCACCTCTGAGCAGGTGATGGACACTGAAGAAAGTAAAGACAGCCACAGACTGACGCAGATACCGATATAAATGAAATGAGCGGGGTCAGGGAGCAGGAACAATATGCAAAGAAGGAAGATGTGAACATCCAATCCCTGCTGAAGTAGATAAGAGGCATTGAAGCAAAGTACATTTACTCCAGGTCATCCTAACAAACATCCATGTGAATACAAATAAACTAGACAAAATTGTTTCATAATTATGTATTTTTTTAAATCCCCCATTATCCACCATTTTACCATGCAGAAACAGGTGATGTATGAGTAACCTCCTTTTGTCCGATATAGCAAAGCTTAGTTCACATGGAGGATGTTTACCCAACAGGCTTTGTAAAATGCATTAACACATTTGTGAACTTGCAACAATTCAGTGTTACATTTCATTTCAGCGGAAGGACTGCTTCACATTTACCTCAGCACAACAAACAGACAGGTTCCGATCTGGGTAAATAAAACAAGGCCATTAGCACATTTTTACATTACATTACATTGCATTTAGCTGACGCTTTTATCCAAAGCGACTTACAATAAGTACATTCGACCAGGAAGACACAACCTTGAAGAAAACAGAATGATATAAGTACATCAGGTTTCATAGAGCCAAAACATTTCAAGTGCTACTCAACTGGCTTTAGATAAGCCAGTCCTTTAGTATATAAGTGCTTTGTTAATAGTTCTATCGCTCGAAGTGGAGTCGAAAGAGATGAGTTTTCAGTCTGCGCCGGAAGATGTGCAAGCTATCTGCTGTCCTGATGTCAATGGGGAGCTCATTCTACCATCTTGGAGCCAGGATTGCAAACCCAACCCACATTTAAGAGACAATTTAAGAGACAACTTAAACCATTTGAAATAGGTCACCCATTTTGTTGGAAAAGCACTCCAGCTTGACCAGTGAAGATGGTTATTGTTGCATTGTGGCAATTCCATTCAAGGCCTTTCCCCACCGGGTAAAGAAAGCTTTCAGAGGTCAGGATTTCTCTGAATCTGTAGAAATGGGATTATGTAACGGATTCACATTTGCACCCATCAGCTGTGCATCTTGTATGGATGCTGTGCACTCTATTTCCCCCCTCTCCCCTGAAAGAAACAAACATGAATAATTTGTAAAGGTTGTTCCTGTGAAAAATGGCACAACCAGGGAGAACACACAGAAGCTTTTACACGGACGACCTGTGATGAACTCTCTGCAGATTAACATCTGTTCATTTTTGTTTAATGAGGCTTCCTTGTTAGTGCTGAAAATGAAAATGCGTGTTAGGATTCAGCATCAATGATTCACACGTGTTAATGGAGCCGAGGGAATTATGATTCTATTTTGAGCTGCAAATATGTTGTTGGTTTAAATGAAATCACTTTCATGTCCGTCCGTTAAATATGATGTAAGCAAGCTCTGGTTAGTTTATGGTTTAACACAAATACTTTTTTTCTTTAATGAGTACAATTACCTAAGTATAGTTTTACAGGGACTCACTGTAATAAACTTGGTCAGTTATCAGGACACCAACAGAGTTAACATTACTCCCAACTAAGAAATATTAAAACACACTTCTGAGCTTCAGAGCTACTGCAAAGTGTTTTGGTTTCCTGTTGCCTTTGGACAGAGCGGGGCTAGCTCTTCCCCCTAAGCTCAACTGGCTCAACCTACTCTTTTCAAGTGATAGAATAACCCTATTTCCCAAAAGTATCAAACTATCACTTTAAAGTACAGCACACATTATGGATCAGTCTTACTTTTAAATATCACTGCAAGTTATCACATGTATTATCTCTTGCATGCACCTGGGATAACATGTTTGTGTTTATGACTACACAGGACTGAGAAAACAAAGAGAAGGTACACTGTACTATTTGCAGAGGGTTGTGAAGCCTTTAGGTATTCGGGTTGTAATGGGCTTTTAACCTACATAGGACATCCAACAGCTGTAGGCGCCTCCATCTGTATGTAAGAATAGGTACCATACTCAAGAGGATTAATAGGTCAAATGCTTTTTTTTTAAAAGTGTGTCTCGGAGTTACATTTCAACAAGAGTTACTGAGTGAACAAGTCAATACAGGTGTGACTGAAGTGCAGTTCAGAGAGATGTGAGACGTTTCTCTGAAGAATGTATGGCTCTCCTTGTTTCATTCCTTGTTTCATTCTTCCTCCATAGCATTATTATGTCACCCAAACAGGAGCTCACTTCATCAAGGGGGGCTGTGTTTTTTCTCTTGGAGCAACTTTTAATGGATCACACCTGACCACCTTGAATGAGCCCTCAAGGCTGCAGGCAGGCCAGAGAGAAGAGAGAGAAAGAAAGACTACTTTACATTTCATCCTGCAAAGGTATTGTTGCAGCCAATTTGATGTATTTTAATATTTGTATATGAAGGTGCTGTGATACTACTGAATTGACCTGGGCATAGGTGGGGACTCAGCCAATTTCAGGGTACAGCCTACTATTTAGGGAGGACACAGGTGCACAGCATTAGGGATTGGGAATCACCAGAGGGAAGCCACACAGTTTTTCAACCGTGCGTGTTTTCGCTTATTTTCTGTTTGTTTTGAGTTCATTTCAGTTTATTTCTTTATCACAGTTAGTTGTTTAGTTATCAGTTAAACACCCGGCTCTTGTTTTGCTGTCATCATCCTGCAATCCAAATAAACATCTTAAATGCACTCAAAGAGAAGACCTGATTTGCTGTCAACACCACGCGTCTGGAAAAGCTTCACACCATATCCCTCACTGGCAAATATTTGTTGTTCGGTTGTTGAAAAACTTGCTTCCAAAGACGGATGGACACAGGAGGACAGCGCTGTATTCATTGACTTTTCCCGACTTAAATCCACGTTATGCACCCGCAAGAGGAACGGGGACGGACCAAACATCAAAGTCACGGTAGGAGTATTTATGAATGAATAAAAAGTTGCGGAGGAGAGTGGCCTTCACGCAACGGGATACAGGCAAATCCCATAAAGTAATTCTAAACAAAGCCTCTGTGGATTACTAAATAATGGCCATGAGTAACGAGGAAAATCAGGAAATGAACGCAGAAATGAACGCTGCTGTCAATCAAACTGAAAAGGAGGATGGGCTTGGTACAAGGACAGCTAAACTCACATATAAAGCAGCGGAAGCAAAGATATTATCTATGCAAAAGGATAGGAATTCTGGGATAAAGCAATTGTGTAAAATGGCAAAGGAATTGGAACAAATGATGATTTCAGATGGAAATGTTTCTGACATGCAAATCAAACATGAAATGTTGTGGAAACTGTCTGGGGAAACTACAAGGTTGCATGAGTCATTAAAACCTTTGTTGCCTGAGGATGAAATGTTTAAACAAACGGAATGGTTTCAAAATCAAATGCACAATGTTAAAGGAGTAATACACAAAATGGAAAAATGGGTCCATGCAAACAGGGAGAAATGCATACAGGTTGTGGATGATGAAAATGATGTGTTACATGCAAACAGGGAGAAATGCATACAGGTTGTGGATGATGAAAATGATGTGTTACATGCAAACAGGGAGAAATGCATACAGGTTGTGGATGATGAAAATGATGTGTTACATGCAAATGAGGAGCTGGATAATATTGGGCCAAATGACAGTATTTCTAACATTGGTGACAAAACAAATGTGTCAGGTGGAAGCTCTGGCCATTCAAGGTCCTCAAGGTCAACAACGTGCTATGCACGTATCAAGGCAGAGGCTGAAAGGGCTGCGCTCCTGGCTTTGGAGGCTGCTCTCAAGGAAAAGCATGAGCTGGAAGCTCAAGAGGCTCAAATTAGGAAGAAAAGGGAATTGCTTGAAGTGCAAAGTCAGATTGCTGCGCAGACAGCAAAAGTCACAGTACTCCGAAACAGAGGGTCTGACATAGGAGTCACAAATGGAACAAATTCATATGTGTCAAAACACAAGTCTGCTCTCAAACCCTCTGCTGTGCCATTTGTTCCACAAACTTCAAGTTGTACCGTCAATCATCCACCAACAGGAGGCAGTAAAACTGCTATGTCAATGAAAGCACAATTATTGGAGCCAAACTGTCAATACAATCATCCACCAACAGGAGGCAGTAAAACTACAAAACCCACTCAATCACATCAAAATCCATACAACCAGTACAATCCACCAACAGGAGCTGCTAAAGCTGCAATGCCATTACAGTCTCAGCAGCTACAGGATCCATACAACCAGTTCAATACTGCAGCTACAATGCCAAGTGGAACAGGGGCACGGTGCAAATAAACCATTTCACAAGGAACCAGATCAAAAACGTATGCTTCAAATCACATCCCAAGCATGCCTCAAAGGTCTTTGCAGTCATGTCCCAGTGCATATACACAACAGCAATGTATCCAAGTCGATGAGGACCAAGGCAGAATGCCTCAAAGATCTCGTCAGTCATATCCAACTGCACAGCCATCACAGCAATCAAACCAAAACAGGGAGGAACCGGACCAAGGCAATATTTTCACCATCATGCAAAAGCAAAACGACATCACAGCATTACTAGTGCAACAGCAGTCTTCATTATCATTACCCCCAAGGGACATACCAGTGTTTGATGGAAACCCTCTTGAGTACAACTTATTTGTCAGAGCTTTTGAAAATGGAGTGGAAGGAAAAGCTGCTAGCAGTGTAGACTGCTTATACTACCTGGAGCAGTACACTCGAGGGCAACCTAGAGAGCTGGTCAAGAGCTGTCAACACATGCCATCTGACAGGGGGTATCAAAGAGCAAGAATGCTTTTAGAAGAACGCTTTGGAAATGAGCAAAAAATAGCCACTGCATATATGGAAAAAGCACTTGGATGGGCACCACTGAAGTCAGAGGACATCAAAGCCTTACAAGCATTTTCACTATTCCTACGCGTCTGCTGTAACGCTATGGAGGACATAAGCTACATGTCAGAAATGAATATGCCATCAAACATACGTGCTATAATCATGAAGTTACCATACAAACTGAGGGAAAAATGGAGAAACATTGCTTTTGAACATCAGGAGAGACGCCATCGTCAAGCAGGTTTCAGTGACTTGGTCAATTTTATTGAGAGACAAGTGTCTATTGCATCTGACCCACT